GTATTATTTTACAGCCGGGGCATCTTTCCCGATGATGTCTCACCCGTATCGTAGGGAGAGATGGCCAAAAACGCCATTTTGATTTTTCAATTATAATCCTGCAATTATTGCATATTTTCTCAAAACAAAATTTTTTATGTGTTCTACATTTAATGTCGTACAAAATATTTTTTTTTCTGTCAAAAAATGATGATGTTCGCACACTCATGACAGTTTGCGAAGTGACACTTTTTTCCCAGGTATTGATTTTTTAACGTTCCCATGACACCAGTGTGCGAACTATAGTCTGTTTTTTAATGACTGGGTACGATAAATCAAACTCACCAAATTTTAATCCCTTAAACCCCTTACAGAGTGATCCAACACTTTCATTATCCTCATTCGTTTACACATACCCAATTTTTACAAACTGTTTCAAGAAAACCCACCCGAAACTCTTTTCAGCCGAAATTCCCTCGCCAAACAATGGGTTTTCGGGTTTAAAGAGGCGTATATTTGTAAATTTTATGACCCATAGGCGCAGGTAAGAGATTTTTGGAAAACAGAATATTTAAAAAAAAATCTATTTTATTTTCAATTTAAAGAAGGTACTTACATAATTATACAAACAATTTAAACCAATACTTATAATACAAACCAATACTTACAATACAAACAAATTAAATTGGAACAAACCTAATAAGAATAATAATTTTTAGGGTCTTCAAAAAAAAAACACCAATCAAAGATTGCTATGATTTTTTAAGCGTAGGTACTTATGTTACTCTGCTTATGTCTTAGCTGTTTTCTATCAACTGACAAATAAAGGGACAATAAATGTCAATACAAAAATTTTGACATAATTTCTGTCCCAATTACATTATTTATGGAAATAGACGTTCAATGCGCGACATACGTTTTCGTGAGCATTCTATGATTTTTTTTTTTTTGAAGACCCTAATTCTTGGAACTTTTTTTTTCAATTAATCTTCTGATGAAGAACTGTCATCATTCAAATTTATAATCAAAGGTTCAACTGTTGCCTCAATTAAATTGTCCAGTTTCCAAAACCTTTCCTCTACGCCAAGAACATGCTTAATACACTTCCGCCACTTATCAGCACTTACTTCTTGAATTGCCTCGTGAAACAATTTTTCCACATCTTTTATTTTAAAAGTTGTGTTTCCTCTTGCAACATATCCCTTGACTTGTGCCCAAATTAACTCGATGGGATTCAGTTCGCAATGGTGAGGGGGTAACCTAAGAACAATTTTTCCCTGTTTTTTTGCCATTTCATCTACGATACAATTGGAATATCTGGACCTGTATGGCTTTACTATTGCAAGCAATTCTTTCTTTACCATATTTTGTTCGAAGGGTATATTTTTTTCCAATAGCCAATTTTGTATTTTTACTTTGCTCCAGGACGTGATTGGAGTTTTTTCTTCTTTTCTGGAGTGGTAGCTGGCATTATCCATTACTATAACTGAGCCTTCGGGAATAAGTTCTATCATCTGCTCAAAATATTCTTCAAACACATCGGCATTCATGTCCTCATGATAATCTCCAGTACGGTTTGATATAAAGGGTGGCAGCAATCCGCCTTCTAAAAACCCATTCTCATTGCCAATATGAGTGATGATTAGTCTTTTTCCCTTTCCTGTTGGTGGAGTTATACCAGTTGACCATCCTTCCAAAAAAGCTTGACGAGAACTTTTAACGTTTTTATCTTGCCACATTTTTTTAACAGTATACCCTTGATTTATGCATGTTTCGTCAAGGTAAAAAATTTGCCTATTTTCTTCACGGTACCTTTTAATTTTTCTCAAGTAGTCCCTTCTCCAAAATACTACTTCGTCCTTCTCAATCAATATAGAATTTCTTCCGTGTGTTTCAAAATTAAAACCCAACTCTTTCAAAGTATTCCAGAGCTTGCTCCTACTTAGATTTGGTATGTCGTCATCATGTTTTATGACTGCCAGAATTTTGTCCAAGGTCGGTATTTCTTTTCTAAAATAGAATGAATGGACTTTTCTTCGAATTCCATTCAAGATGTCTTCATCAAGGTTAATTTTTCTTCTGCCCGATGGTTTTAAGGGTTCTCTGTAATACAAGAAAGTTGCTTGAGAAATTCGGCAAGCATGTACTTAATGCAGAAAATAAGTAGTTAAATATCATTTTTTACCTTAAAGATTTTGTTTTCCGCTCTTTAAGAATTCTGTAAATCGTGTTTTTTCCATATCCTGTTTCATTTTGGCACATACGGACTACACTAGCTTCCGAACTTTGCAAATGTCTTAACTTCAGGCTATCAAATACATTCAGTAGTGTGATTTTCTCATTATAACTCAAAGGTTTCCGTTTTCTTCTAACCGGAAAAGAGGAAGAGCTCGTTGAAGGATTCATTTATCACTTAATATGAAAGCCGAAACCGCACTGTTCACTGTTCAATGTTTAGGACTTAACTGCTAAATTGCTGCTTCAAGAAAACTAATGCTAAATTGCTAAAACTATTCCAAATAAACCCATATTATACAGTACCTACATTTTTAAGAAGAAACATTATGATAATTTATCTAATTCTGAGTACTCTAACTAATGTCTTGCTCAGGTAAAATAATGATTCTATAATAATAGTTACGGTTTCTATTCACAAATTTACTTGGCAGTAAACCTCCAATTTTCATTTTTTTTTTACCTGTTTAAAATTGATGTGAAAACATATAAAAATCGTACCTACCTGTCTTTGAGAAATTTATTTGGAAAATTATTTTCTTATATAGGCACGCCAATGAACTACCTATACTAAATGCATTCTGACACTTTTATGTGTACCCTCTGATTAAAAAACATACTATAGCTATTTCGCACCCTAGTGCGCGAAATAGCTAATTCGCACACTGGTTTCATGGTGACACATACCTGTCAGGTAACCAATAAATAATTAAAATTCACCTATCTTTGATCGAGAATGCAATTTTGGCTTCGAATGATCGATATTTAAATGGAGTTGTAGAAAAAATATTGTTTGCAACTCGGGCGCGAAATACTTTGGTGATCTCGACTATTTTTTTAACTCGGCTACGCCTCGTTAAAAAAATCAGATCTTGATCACCAAAGTAGCATTTCGCGCACTAGATACAAAAATAACTATTTTTTCAGAGTTAGAGCCTTCAATATTACATTGTTACAATTTTTTTTGTTAGTTGGGGCAACTCTCCCGGAATTACCTCATAGATCCAGATCGATAGTCTGATTCGAAGAAGTTGAAAATCAGAACATAAAAGCATCTCTCAACAAAATGCATACGTACCTGGCATGCACATGCATAACGAGCGCAATGAAGACTTGTCCAATGACTAGAATCACGGGAGAGGGGGGGGGGGGGCTGGCGAGAAAGGTTGGTTGGAAGGAGAAAATTAGCACTTCTAAGCTTATTCCGCTCCTCGAACTCCCCAGGGATGATATGATCAAAACATATAATTTTGCGAAACACCTCATTGTAGTCAGAAGAAGCAGAGAATCAGAGAAGAATGGCAAGGAAACACCATATCCATTCTTACAATGCAGCAAAAAGCCATAAAATGGTATACTGATCTGTCTAGAACTCAACAAGGGACCGGAGCCGGAGAACTTGATTCCGAGCCGGAGTATTTGGGCCTGGAATCAAATTCTCCGAAGCAATGGGAAAACACCCAGACATATTTCAGGCGGAAATAAACGCTATATGTAGATGCACTGAGTTCAATCTTGACAGAAACTACAAAAAGAGACAGAGATTGTCATAGTCTCAGACAGTCAAGCAGCCATCAAAGCGTTAGGTTCACCAATAATCAGCTCCAGAATGGTTTAGGAATGCTTGGTTAAACGAAATGGGCAAAAATAACAAACTATTCCTCCAGTGGATACCAGGACATGTAGGGATCGCAGGTAATGAGAAGGAGGACAAATTGACGAAATTGGGAGCATGAACTCTGCTTTCAGAGCCAGAGCCTTTCTGTGGCATAGGGACGCAAACTTATAAGCAAGCGTTCAGGAAGGAAGAGCGGACCAAATGGATCAGCCTCTGGGTTAAGGCGATCAGAAATGTTTCTTGGGCCCCCTCACCAAGGGAGATCAAAAGATCACTGAGTAAAAACCATCTTCGCATTCTCACTAGATTCCTTACACGCCACTGCCGGCAAAAAGGGCACCTTGAGATAATCAAAATCGAAAACGAAGACAGCTGCCGGTTCTGTGAAGAAGGAAAGGAAACTCCAGAACACCTTCGCACGGAGTGCGAGGCGATCGTGAACAAAGAAATTCCATCCATAGAACCATCCAGTTTACTTGCGGTTATAAAAGCTTTAAAGCTCGCTGAGGTGCTTCGAGTGAAAATCCTATCAACTGAAGCACTCAGAAGGGAGGCACAATGAATCTATTCAGGTCGCAGTAGAACAATACCTACCTCTACACCCCACTACATATCAGTAGTCACGCTGAAAGAGAAAAATCTATGCATTCCAGGTGCTATTGAGGAAGCAACTGAAAAGAAGACTTTTCCTGGAATAATAAACTTCAACAACTTCACTAAAAGTGAAAGGCATGACTTTCAAAAATTGCATAAATATATCCTGATCTATTCGGAATTCCATTTTTTTTCCGAAGATCACGATGGATTACCCTTATCTTTTTTCAATAGGTACCTAACTAATCCCATTGAAAAATCTAGCCCTATCGAAAAAAGTTAAACAGGAAACGGTTATGTTGCGACACAGCCTCGCTCCTAATTTAAGGACAATAATAACATCACGCTTAATTAATATTAATTAGAATGCCGGTCTACGATTGTCAATTGTTTGTAATGCTTGGGCGTATTAAATAATGATCGTTGGAACGTTTATATCTAACAGTTAAATTGTTGGAAATCTGATATAACGTCAATCATTTTTATATATTTTTTCTTATCCTTAATGCATCTGGATCACATTTGCATAATAGTTTATATTTATTACGAAATAATCATATTTTTATATTCTCACCTGTGTCGGAGATTGGACTGTCTAAGGAACATAAAGGACAAGCTTCGTTGGTGAACATGCAGGAATAACATCGTTCATGTCCACAATTGTCAATCAGTCTTCGTTTTTTGCCTTTGTCAAAGGGCATTTCACAGCTGGGACAAGTTCCTACCATGACTTCGGATTCTAGTAATCTACGAATCGCAGCTAGATCTGAAAAAGATAAAAGATTGTCTTAAATATAAACGAAAATGGAAAAAAGTACAATAAACAACATACAGGTCATAGTAATTTTCTATTTTCATGCAAAGTATTATTCAAATTTGCAAATACATATTTCAAAGTTCAAGTCGAGCCATTGTTTATTGCTAGCCGCATTTTTCGTTCTATAATTTAATGATTACATTGCCATTGGCTAGATAGTAAATTTAATAATGGTTTATATTTCAATTGAAGCAATAAATAATATTTGATATTTTACTAATGGCATTAACCCACAAATCGTGATTTAATTGCTTACCCTAAAGCTGTATGAGTTAAAAAAATAAATCAGATTGAAGAATAATAATCATCATTAGATAGGATAATGAAATTCTGAAAAATAGGCTGAAACATTTACAAATATGGAATTTAAACATGGATAATCCGAAGCACTTTGAGGAAACATGAAACTCGATGATTGTATTTACTTAGATTATAAGGAAAAAGAAAGAATAAATCAAATGACAATTGATACTTAGATATACGATGATATTCCTCAAAAGCTCTTAGTGCATATAAAAGAATTTGCAACTTTCTTAAGAGTACCAAAGTGATAGTCCTAGCGGCTCGCGACAATTTTCATCGAAAAACGGCAAATTGTGGTGCAAGCATGAAATTTGGTATAACTGTTTTTTAGATCATTTTAAGTGATTTGATTCGATGTACACCGAATTTCATCAATCGGGACGCCCCCCACCCCAAAATGGCGGGAAATTCAGTACGTCAGTTTTGAAATTGTTAGATTTTTTAATATTAAATCTGATTTTTACTTTGATCAAGGTCCTGGGGTATCTAAAATATTATTTTAAAACATTTAATGGAATACTACTCCTCTGTAAGGGGTATATAACAGCGTGGGCAAAAAGAACGGAACACCTACAGGGGTTTGAAAATCATTTTATTTTTTTTTTGAAAAATCGCTCGGACCCGTCAATTTTATTTTTAAGCTGCGCTTTTTTTGGAGAAAAAAAATATACAGGGTGTCCCAAAGTGTTGTTACTTGCATCAACTATATTATTTTAATTGGCAACCCTTGGTTTGGATTCCGAACCCACGATTTAATAGTATCATCTATCTTTATTTATATAGACGATACTTTCGAATCGTGGGTTCGGAATCCGGGCACTGTATATTATTGCATTTGTGCTCCGGAAAATTTTGAACATACACATTTCGTGTAAATATCCTGTACCTATCTTCAACTGTTTCGGAATTATTGACAGTTGAAAATTGACTTTTTTTGATTTGATTAATTTTAGAGCCAAACCGATTATACATTCTCATTTTAGTTTTCTATAAACTCATCATTTGACACCAACTTTGAATTTAATTCATGATCAAAAATTCCGGTTAAAAAACCAAATCCTCAATTAAGTTCATAGTTGGTGTCAAATGATAGTTTATGGGAAACTAAGACAAGAATGTATGATCAGTTTTGCTCTTAAATTAACCGTTTAGGTTCTACAGCCTGTCAAAGTTGCAAAAAAGTAAATTTTCAACTGTCGATATTACCGAAACAGTTGAAAATAGGTAGGTATAGGAAATTATACATATTTCCATATTTTTTCGTAGAATTCAAAAATGCAATAATATACAGGGTTGCTATTTGAAATTTGAAATAACAAACTTGATGTAGGTAACTCCATTATTGAGACACTCTGTATAATTTTTTTTTTTTTAATATCCTGATTAAAAATTAAATTGACGGATCCGAGCGATTTTTCAAAAAACAAAATAGTTTTGAAATCCTCGTAGGTGTTCCATTCTTTTTGCCCACGCTGTATATAGGTATGTATATAGCAGCTCATAAAGTTGCTGGAAGTCTCGAGCAAAATAAATCCATTGCTTTGCGTGAATTTCATGCTTTTACTGGTTGCGACACGGTGTTATTTTTTGGATCTAGGGGCAAACGCAAAGCATAGGCTGTTTGGAAAGATGATGAAACTACTGACGTATTTAAAATTTTAGCTGAATGTCGTGAGATATCGAGAATTGAAGGCATTATGAGTAAGTACTGAGGAAAACCACCTATTTAAAATAGTATTTCTTCAAATCTTAACTTAAAAAAAAACTTTTACGTAATAAAAGTAAATATTGCAACCATGTACTGCGCCACAGAGTTTAGGTTTAAGGGACAACGAGGGTACCAAACCGAACGGTAGGTAAAGAGAAAGCGATTAGGCATTAGAATGGGGAACGCGCTGGCCTGGTCCCTTAGAAAACGTGTCGCGTGTCTGTAATTATTCATTATTCAATTTTCATTTCTATTTTGCATTAAAATTGATTGTTCAATCCTTACACACACACTAGTAACAAATTTATTAGTGTGTGTGTAAGGAGAGTTCACAGGTTAGTGGATTTATTGTTATTTTGTTTTTGAGAGTTCAATTTATGCAAGTTCCTATTATTTTGTTCATTTTTATGTCTTTTGTTTGTTTATAACAATTTTTTATAACATGTGCATTGTTTATGTATTTAACCAAAATCGTTTCATGCTGTAAACAACATAGATAAAGAGTAAATTAAAACCTAAGAAATTATGTGCTGTCTTTTTGTGCTGAGATTTCGATTTTGTGTATTCAGAGCGTGTTATTAGAGCCTTGTTGAATTTACTAACATTTTCCTGCCCTGACGAGAGAATATCCTAACAAATTGAAATAATCAATCTAGAGATATTGGCTCAAAAACAACTATAGCTGAGTAGCTTCCCGTATGGGACCTCAGTACCTGCTGGGAAACTGGCTAACTAACCAAAAACTCTTCAGTTTGGAATATAGGTAGTGTTGATTGAATGTAGTGTGTGTAATTAAAATTTTAGCACAAAGAACAGGAGCGGTACCTAATTTAAACTTTTATTGACTTAAATTATTGAATTATTGACTCACAATTAATTATCAAAATGACACAGTATGTTTCGATTTTTGGGAAATGTTAGATCAAGGTTTTCTCTGCCGTTCTCTTTTCCCTCGAGAATTCTAGGTCGAGAACGGTACGTTTTTCTTTGATAATAAAGGAGACGTTTCATAAATTTTTCGTTTCTTTGACATATCACAACTTCCCTTAAATTTCCCAAATATTTGCTATGTCGGGCGCATGTCCAGTAAGTAAAATTGAGTAAGTTTCCACAACGTAGGTCCTATTTGTTTTTCATTTCATTTTTCAGAAGATTTGTTGTTTAAAAGGTAATAAAAATTCTCATCGTTCAATCTTACTGAGCGAACCCGGGTATGTTATACTACAGTACACTAGAAAAATACACGATAAATATATGATAACAGCAGCGATAAATGTAGCGTGAATGAGGTACGCAAGGAGCTCTTCTGCTGTGGTCATCGGGCAATAAGCTCTATTACGCCTACAACGGGAACTTTTATTGAGCAGTCAAGAACAGCAGCCTATCAGGCTGGAAAAATCTGGGGACAAGCCACTCAATATGACCCAAGATATTTCTTTCCCAAAAGACTGGGGTTGGACATAGTACAGGGTGTCGTGGATAAGTATGCACTCTACAGGGATCTCCGTAATCATAAGAGATACAGGGTGGGTTTAATCTGGAAAAAGTTGCGCATTACTGAGCTCAGTGGCGTCATGTTTTGATATTCCGGATATTCAGAATGATTCCGAAGATATCCATAAAAAACCGAATTTTGCCGAAATAGTTTTTATTTTTTTCTGACCGAGTTTCTGACTTTATTTGAAGTGATGTCGCGAAATAAATTTCACATTCTCGTTGCCACTTTTTCTCCACTACATGATAATGTTATTAAATTTTTGATCAGACGTTTCATTTCTTCGCGATAATCATCAACTTTGTTTTTTTTTTTAAATTTTATGTCTAATAAATTCTACTTTTTTATTATAAATCATAAAAGACATATCAAGCTCATAATTGCGGGAAAACATGACGCCACTGAGCTCAGTAATGCGCAACTTTTTCCAAATTTAACCAACCCTGTATCTCTTATGGTTACTGAAATCCTTGTAGAGTGCATCCTTATCCGGGACACCCTGTATATGGGTGAAAGATGCCAACCAAAATCGAGCACGTTACCCGAAACTTGGAGTAACCCCAAGGATTTGCAAAAGTGTGGCTACAAGTCAGGGTGCGATAGTAGAGGGGGTGTTGCTGCCGCAAAGTCAGGGATTCATCAAGCCAAGTAGCTTGAATTTTTTCTTAAATACTTGACTTGACTTGAAAACTCAAGCTTTGGAAAATTTTATATTTGACTTGACTTGATTTTCGGTCTGAACTACTTGACTCAATATCAAGTAAAATCAAACTACTTGATATTACTTGATAGTGATCTGTGAAATGTGCATCGAAGCGTTAAAATAGGGGATTCACCGAGGTTAAATAGGGGATTCACCGAGGTTACAGCCAGGCCCGTTCCTGAAGGGTCAAGCGCCTGCGTGCAGGATATTTTATTCCGCCAGGGCAGGCAGGGGCGCATCTAGACATTCTACTATACGATTCGGCACCCGTCTCTAAGGCGATTGGCTGATTTAAATAATATTTTGACATGATGCCGAAACGCATAGTGGAATAAGTGAGTAGTGCTCAAATCATGAGTGGAATGTTTATACTCATTATGCATAAGTGCAACAACAAGTTCTGAATCACGTAGTAGAATGTCAGGACGGTGCCCAAAACGAGAGTGCAATGCCAAATGATTATTTTTGGGCTACGCATGGGGCTAATTACTGGAATGTAGAAGTTCTTCAAATAGGTTACTTTTTTTTGTCTGTGAGGTGATTCAATTGAAAACAACTAATTAGGTATATAATATTATTTTAGTTTATTTTAGAAAATATGTAAATATAATTAATACATAAATATTTACACATAGGAATATGCATAATACTATACTTAAATAGTTTCCTATAAAATTTTGATTTTCATTAACTTTCAATAATAATCAAAAAAATGCAGACTTACTCAAACTAACCCGTCC